TACATTAGTGCCCAATATACATTAGTGCCCAATTTACATTAGTGCCCAATATACATTAGTGCCCAATTTACATTGGTGCCCAATTGAAACCGTTGCAAGATAAAATGAAAAATGAGTTATCCTTACTTTACTATCTGAAAATTTCAATTTCGATTTGTAAGCTTATAAAAGTGACGTGTCAATAAATTTAACTGCAAATTTAAATAATTCCAGACTTTTTTAGATAGAACAACTTTGGGATATTGTCTTCAATCTTATTCAGATAGAGGTTTCTTGTGTTAATCAGACGAGGGAGGAAACCCCTGGACGCTATGAGCCTCTGCTATGCAAACATGAGCCTCCCATATTTGCTAGGCACTTCGAGCCTCCACTATGCAGACCAAGCCTCCGCTATGCAGTAAACGAGCCTCCACCATACAGAACAGATGTTTTTAAATCTTGGTTTTTATGTGTAATGTAAAATGTTAATCATTTTCTTTTGACATAGTGATATGAGAGGTTTGTCAAAGATGAAAATTATTTATCAATTATCATAAATAGTGCCTAACTTTGACTAATAAAGTGGCATATAAAACTTTAAACATTTTTTACCGGAAAAGAAAAATATTTAGAGAAATAAATGTGAATTGAACTTCATTTCATCTTTTATAATCTTTGATTTAAGCAATACCTTTTTTGTAGTTCAAGCTAAATCTAGAAAATTTGTATAATTTATTAAAATCTTAACATTTTTCAAAAAAAAGGTATTGTTTGAATCAACATTACAACAAAACAAACTAAATTTACTCCAGAAATATTTCTCCAAATATCTTCCTTTCTGCGTAAGAAATGTTTAAAGTTTTAGCATAAATCTTATAAACCACTTTATGAGTCCATATATGTACGTTTCTAATCATGACAATCAACAAATAAATCTAATCTTTAGTAAAATTCTTATCCCACTACGTCAAAAAAAAATAGAAAAAATATTTCATAACACATAAATGCCAAAATTTAAAAAAAGCTGTTCATGGTGGAGGCTCGTTCACTGCATAGCGGAGGCACAGTCTGCATAGCTGAGGCTTGGTCTGCATAGTGGAGGCTAGGTCTGTCTAGCAAATCTTGGAGGCTTGTGTCTGCATAGCAGAGGCTCATGGCGTCCGGGGGGGGTTCCCTCCCTTATCAGACACAAAGGCCTAGGGGGGTGCACTTTTGGCGAACATTTTTTTGTGCAACCCCCTAGCGGTTGATGTGCACCC